GCACGCACACACACACACACACACACACACACACACACACACACATACACATACACTGTATATACATGCATATAAAAGAGTTTAAGGGCACTTGCAACACAATGTCACACAAGCGCCGAAGAATATAATAATATGTGTTACAAGAGAATAACATACACCAAAAAGAAGGAGGGGAGATCAGGAAGATAGATGTTTGATAGGAAAGAAGGAGCAATCCTCACAATAGCACCCACCAACCACCCACAACAATAGATAGATAGAGACAGATCACCATCACCATTATCTGACTTCGATTCTATTTCGATTTCAGGTTACATACAGTATTGGCATAAGCATGGACGTTTACCATTAAATTATGCAATAGATGCCTTGTTATGCATATAGGCGTTGACAGACTGAGTGTGAGCTTCAGTATTGAAAAGCGTATCGAAAGGATTATATCGTGTGCTGGGAAAGAGTAAGACCGACTAAATAAGGGAAGGCGCTACCGAAATTTCCGTCTCTTTAGATTCGCCAGCCATATACGCAATGTCTTGAGTCATCAACGTGTTCAGCATGCTCATAGGAAATGGTTAGATATTTGAATGTGATAAAATCGTTAGATATTTGAATGTGATAAAATCATCAGTCATCGCTTACTGGGATGTATAATATTTTGGTTTGCAGTTGCCGCAAAATTAGGACAATGAAAATATCCCAAGGATTTTTCATTTTTACGCAATTTCTTTATTTGACAATATAAACCTTTTGTCACAAAAGGGAAGGGGCAGCGTCACTAGGTTTGCATCAAATGAAAGTCCATAAAGTATAAATCAAGATTCAAGATTGTTAAAACATGATAACATAGGGCAGGTTGCTGAGATGTTTGCGAAGTTATATATAGCAATAACCTACAACAGGACTTACATTTTTATTTGCAGACAGTTTCTCATAATGAATGCCACATCACATGTTTCAAAACAATGTCAAAATCACGTTAAAACAGGCTTTGTATTTCAGATAGTTTCTCATAGTGAAAGGCACAACACAAATTTCGAAACACTTAAAAACACAGTAGCAGACTGCCTCATTGAAAGGCGGAGGTGGAGTTGTTTTTCTTCCACAACGCTCAGAATAGTTTCTATTCTCAGGACCTCTCAGACAGTAAGTGACATTATGACATATTGTGTGTTGAGAAGAAGTGTGCAGTGACAGTGTGTGTGCGTGTGTTGTTTAAGGAGGGGCAGTAATCAAGAACAATGGAGAGGGCTGGGAGCACGGATAGGGGAATGCTGAGATGACAAGAGATTGGGGTGGGGGGGGGGGG